CAAAAATTCAAATGAGATGGGAAAGGGGCCCTTTGGAAAGTGGCGATTTCGGCGAAAATGCCAGAAATGGCGATTAATCGCCAAACGCGCCAAACTGTAAACAAAAATTCAAACACGATGGCAAAGGGGCCCTTTGGAAAGTGGCGATATTGGCGAAAATGGCGGAAATGGCGATTAATCACCGAAATCGCCAAATTATAAACAAAAATGCGAATGAGATACCAAAGGGGCCCTTTGGAAAGTGACGATTTTGGCGAAAATGGCGTGCACTAATCTTGTATCTTTTCATCAGCCACAAATAAAAAAAAAAATTACAGTGCACGTTGGCCTCGTTCTTAAAACGTGTTTTGGCAGAAATGGCAATTACTCGATGAAATACCTAATTTGTCAAGACAAATTGAAATGACATAGCAAAGGGTCCCTTTTGAAATGGCTATTAATTGCGAAATAGTTACCACATATTAATATAAAAATGTTTCCAGTAGTATAATTGTATACTAATAATGACAACGCTACTGTAACTTAAGTGTCATTAATCTGTTTTTAATGCTTTTACCTTTAATTGATAACCTCTTGTGATTTGAAATTCGTGCCAGACAAGAGTGTTTGGTCGGGAATTACCACTTATAACTAATTTCTTGCTCAATTCAAATCGAATGGCCAACGAGTTGTATTCGATTATCAGTAAATGGTAATCTTCGTAATGTTCATGGCAACTTTCTTACCAAAAAATCCAAGATAGGTATCCTTAATTTTCCAGGCTTGTAGGCATTGTTTGAATAGCGACAGTTCAACATTATATGTTATGAGGAATCCAGGTTGATTCTTGGCTACGCATTCAGATTATTAGATGGTCCGTATTGCCTTGTATATCCATCCTGTTTGTTATAATGGCGTTCAATCGTACAAGTATATATAAACGAGCTGGTTCATTGCAGTTTCACAGAACATGAACGTGTAAGGTTTAGTAGTTGTTATATAGACGCGGCGGCCATGTTGAAATAGTCGATTTTGGATAACTACTTTATGTAAGTGGAAACGATTAGTGTCATTCCCAGCCGACTTTGGTGGTCACTCTATGTAAGCAAAACGATTAATGTCGTTCACAGGGACTCTCAGGCAATTGTTAAAATAGAAGGTAAAAAGGCCGGGTGGCGTGTTTCGACGAGCATTAGCATTAGCAATTTAATGGAACACATATTGTACTGAGAATTGGTTTGGTGGTCTCAGCGCAAAAAAAAACAATACATTTTCTAAATTTCTGGCCACACCTCATAAAGCAATAATGGGACACATTTTTAAGAACGAGACAAACATGTACACTCTCTTTTTTATATATCTAGGTTGATGAAAAGATACAGAATTAGTTTGAATGGGATATGTTTTATGAAAGAGACGAACAAGTTATTACTTTGATCCAATGTTTATGTTCAATAAATGCAGTGAAATATTGGGCACAAGTGACATTTCGTGCAGGTTTACATCAGGTGGAAATAAGCGAATTCACACATTTCAAAATGGCGCATGCAAGCTGCTGGACATTTCGGCTTTCGTTACTTTTTAGGGGACCGTTTCTCTAAAGAGCAAAACAAGTAAGTGCGAGAAGAAAGTGAAGAGTTTAAAACGACGGAAGAAGATAATGTGTATAGTGGAGAACCAAATGAAGGGCACACAATGGTTATCGTGAAGGCATCTTTTAGCCAGGAACCATGCGTTTCAATAATCGCTTTTGATTTAAGGCTGCCTCACAATTTAATGGAACCAATGTGAAGAGAATTGTAACCAGTGAGGATTGTTAAGGTCTACATCGAACCTCAAAAGTTAGAGTGTCCATGGCAAGAAATTATTATGATTTCAAGGACTTGGTAGTTCTCTCCTCGAGTAATTAGTGGACTTGTAAGTCTTTGAAATGAATGAACCATACAAAAGCAAATGATGCTAGTGTGATATTTCAGCGCATCACATCACTTTTGGTAAGTCAAGCGACATCGAAAGTAAGGAAATGTTTACTTAACCTGTGAAGTACATGGCACAAATACATATTAGCTTAACCGAAACGACTTCCATTTGTTGTTTTCAGATATATTTGATTCACTTGTATTTAATAAAATAATGTTGTTTGACAGTTAGGTAAAGCTGTTTTGTCATTTATTTGATTCAGTTGTATTTGATAAATGTTGCCTCACAGTTATTGGGGCCTCTTATTAGGCAAGTAATTTGAACTTTTTTTTAGTACTGTTGCCTCACAGTGATAAGGATCTCTTTAGTTATCCACTTTGAAGGGGCCACTTTTGGCATCCAATTTAAATATTTTGCCATATATCGCCAGCCCTCTGGCGATTTTTGCCAAAATCGCCAATTTCGCCAAAATCGCCATTTTTGCCAAAATCGCCAGCCTCCAAGGGGCCACTTTTGGCATCCAATTCAAATCGCCAGAGGCTGGTGATTTTTTGCCAGTTTCGCCATTGCATGCATGGCGATTTTGCCAAAATCGCCAATT